AATATTTTACTAATTTTAAAAGATTCGAAGACGATCATTCCTATTGCAGCAACGTAGCTACATGTTATCTCTTCCACTTTAAAAGTGTCTTTTGAAGACCTACTTAGGTGGTGTTGTATGTCGTCTTTTGAAGAAATAATACGTAATCATGTTACCTTTTCTATTAAAGAAAGAAAAAAATTTTCTATATCATCTCTAACTTATACCTATTTTAAACAATATTTTCAATTTGGTAGAGTGGCTATAAATCCAACTTTCTAATCCATAAGTCTTATTTCAATAGACTTCTAGGTTGCATTGATGTACAATACTACCTAGAAAGATTGTTTCTCCAAGAGACAATCTCTTGTTGAATTGAAGGAGACTGAGAAGAACTTTACAAGTTTGAAAGTAAGAGTCAATAAGTTTTTAAAATGAGTGATATTTTTTAAAAACGTTCCTATTATTTAGAGTTTTTTTTCCTTCCTTTTAATCAATTTAGTCCCTACATTTGAAAGAAGTTAAAATTTGAATACTGTGATTGAGTTTTTTTTTGTTAGTCCAAGTTGTGCTCGAGTTGAGCTCCTACATAAGTCAAAAATATTATTGAAATGAGGAGAAATCGCATTAAGAAGGCTAGCATTAAGGATGATCATCAGTCGATCAGAGTCGTTTTAGGCTGCAACCGACGCTGACCACCGACATATCGATTTTCATCGATCGAAGTTCGTCAACTCCGATTGACTAGCTATACCTGCAGTCGATCGATTTTTGATGGATTTAAGGATGAAGAAGTGGAGATGAGTAATAGAAAGAATAACAGAGGTAGAGGAAGAGAAATAGGGAAGAAAAAAGAGAGAATAATGGAGAAGAAGATGAAGGGGGAGAAAAGAGGAAGAGAGGAGCGAAGAAAACCAGAGAGGGAGAAAGAAAGAAAGAAGAAAGGGAGAGAAGCATCAACGGCGGCCATGGTTTCAAGTTCTCAACTTCTTCAACATCTCTTCATCTTTCTAAATTGATTTTCTTTCTAGAAAGTAATATAGTAAAAAGAAAGAGAGGAACTACGAAAGCTGAAAAAAAGAAAGGAGGGAGAGGGGTGAGAGAGTAAAGAAAAATTTGAGAAATTTAAAATTTAAAATTAAAAAAGATCCAACTCATTAAAAAATTGACTCCAACTGACTTCGACTCGGTCGATTTTTGTCCATCGAATATGTTTTTCGAAACTTTTTACTTACTCCTACTAGAAACTGATGTAAATGCATTGTAACGATCGATCTAAGCAAACAATTAAAAATGATTCCATTATAAATTTGACCATAATTCATAGACTAAAAAAAATAGGATGAATAATCTCTTTTTAAAATGGAACTAAAACAAAATTGTGAGATCCGAGTTAGAGTAAATTTTAGGGACACCTCCTAAAGTCTGAGAAGTTAATTATTTTCTATTAAAAAATATAAATATAATGGTAACTTTTTTTTCTTACTCTCAAATTTTAAAGTTATAAAACCCAAAGTTTTACTTGAAAATGCGTTTTTAAATAAAATGTTATGTTTAATTTTTTAATATTTATTATATGTTCAAGTAAAAATGACCAAAGATTTTAGATAATGCATAAATGATCGTAGCATATTATCCACTTTGCCATTTGTTATACAATTTGCAAATTAATTTTGTTTTCTAATAGTGAACTTTCAAAATTTAAATCAAAGTATAAGATATTATTTCGTACCTTTTTTTGTTTGAAATTTAGACTTTATTTTCAATATCTTTTTTTATCTATTTAATATTAATTTACGTTTTGGCATCTTCTTGTCATCAACACAAAGCTTTTCTTTGATCTTCTTGACAATCAGACACTCCTAGTTTGAGCTCCTTTTTGTTTGTTTTTTTTATTTACCTCTATTTAAAAAAAAAACTATTTTGATAGTTGTTGATGCTGAATTCTACCGAGCTTTGAAGGTCGATTTCTGCTGAATTAGGATAATCTATAGAGAAACGAACGGTACGAGGAGAGACTGCACATAAAGAACAAATACTCCAAAGCTTAAATCAATGAGGGCATGAGCTCAGTTAGTCGGCCTCAGATAGAATTGGGTACCTAAATCCTTGAAGCATTGTCCTTTATATAAGGGCGACATGTTTGTTATGGCCATTGTGGTTAGACAGTTACAGACAATCAGATCTTAGGTTGGTCTCCCTTTAACTCGATCACACATATTTTAACAAAATGAGTTGGTTTTCTAGATCTTCTCAGGTCAGTCCTTGTTGGTACGACAAACCTAATATGCATATCCTATCATCTTCACCGAGCTGACCCGATTGGTCCACATGTCATGTTAACTTTTTACCCTCCAACAATAGTCTTATTTTTAACGTTTTTTTTTAACTATAGTTTTGTATTATTCATTTTTTAATTTTGAGGCCGCCTCTATTTTTCTAGAGACGCAATTACTATTATAATTATAGTAAACTAATTTTAATATAATGGAACCATTTTTTACTAATTTTACATACTCTTAAAAGTTAGAACATTAGTGAGAATGAAAAGAGAAAAAAAAGGCAGCAGTCAAAGAAACTGAAAAAGGAAAAATAAAGCCAAAAGAAAGGGGAATATTTTTTTTTTAAAAGAAAATTCCATGAAATCTTCCAATTTGGAGAATATTATAGTTCAATTTTATGGATCAATTTTCTAGAGTATCAACTTATTTCAAGCTCGATTGAGTTATTACAAGTTAGATCATATGAACTCAATTTAGTCATATATTTTTTCATATTCAATTTATCAAATGAAAGCTTGAATTATTAGCAATTAATTGAAATAAAAGATTATATTTTAGTATCACACATCATCAAAATTTTAAAACATTTTACTGATTAGCAACGTATACGACTCGATTGAAAAACTTAATATGAAAAATATGACATTCTTTGACAAAATCAATGACATTAAAGTTTATTTTCATGATGTAAAGTGAGCATAGCTACGTGGTAATTGTAAATTTTAAAAAATAAGAGTCAAGATAGTCACCTTTTAAAAATATAAAGATAAAAATAAATATTTTGAAGGTATAAAGACTGAAATGTAAAAATGAATATTTTGAAAAAATATGGACTGAAATTGAAAACATAAGATGAAAATATTATTTTAACTTAAAAAGGGAAAAAATACAAAAATAGTTTCTATTTAATAGCGTAGCTAAAATACGGAAGCAACGTCTGGTCAACAAATTTATTATAATTTATAAGTAGGACCTTGTCCTATTTAAACATTAATTAACCCTCTGTTACCTATTTTAAAAATCATTAAATTTGATTTAAATAGTTTCTTCGACGTTTTTTTTTTCCTTTTTAGAAAAAACTCTTACAATATATTGATGTCAATATTCTCATTAATGGCCTTCATAAATGTGAAGTTGAAGGGAAAGTTTGTGATTAAACCCAAATTACTATTATACCCTAATTTTGTATAATTTTGTCCTAATCTCCATTTTTTAAATAACCAAACAATTTCCTACATTAATTCTCTAGTTGTTTCAAATTCTGTCGCATCAACTTTCCATTCAAAATTTATATTAACGGATGCTTGTTTAAAAAGTATTTTTGAGACGTTTATGAAGGGTCACGATAGTATTAACTTTCGAAAGGATAAGAGTATTTTTAAAACCGACGATAAAGTTGAAAGATTTTTATTTTTTTATAATTTAAGACTACCTTTTATCTAGAAAGATATATGACCTATATTAAATTATAAATTTAGTAAAAATGTGTTTACCCCCATTAAAAAATGTTTTAATCCAACTACATTTTTATTTACTCCCTCCACCTAATAACATTAACAAAATTAATGATGTAACATGCTCATTAGTTATGAAGTTATCTACTCATTAGATTGATTTTTTTTTATTATTATTACTACTATTGTTTTTTTTATTATTATTACTACTATTGATAGAGTGAAAGATCAAAGGTTCAACTTCGAACATAGTATAATATAGCACTTTTATTTGTAAGTTCGAAAGAGACGAAATGGAGAATTAAATCTCCGACATAGGTTTAAAATATTTTAATAAGCTATTTAAAATATTCTAATAAGCTACAAGTTAGTTGATGGTGTTAACCAATTTGAAGATTGAATAAACAATGTTTAAAAATTAAAAAAAAAAAATTATGTCTTAATCCATACTTCATCTCATAATCAAGAAAATGTGAAGTAGTTAAAGTATAACATTAAAAAACCCCAAACCCAAACCTTGAGTTTCTTTATTACACAATCAGTATTTCTTCAACACAAAACCATATGACAATAAATACACTCAATCATCATCATTAAAAACCAGAGAAGCAAGAACACAGGGGTTAATCAAATCACACAAATCTGTTAAACGGTTTCCTTCTAATTCCAGTTGGTAGTGAAACAAAGCTGAAGTTCCCGACCGATCGTACCGATTGGTTGTCGTCTACTGTCATTTGATCCCTCGGCGACGACATCAAACCTCTGTTCCTAAATGATCCTACACCTTGTGTCAGGGGAAATGACTGCCTCCTGCTGGATGCTTCACTCCTCGGCGTACCGGGAAACCTCTCCCTCGGGTTGCTATGAGCTCGCACTTTCGCTTTGGCTGAAACTGTAGGGGTCATGTAGTGCGGTGCCATAAAAGGGGGGCAGCTTGCGAGGCTGTCGTCGTCCTTTAACCTCATGTCGAAAGGAGACAGTGCTCTGCTGCCTCGCGATCTTGAGTCGTTGGAGATGTTTGACCTTGCTGTTTGAGGGGTTCTCAACCGATGCGGAGACCGTGCAGGCTTTGCATTTGAGAATGCTGTTGATTTTGTAGACTTTGGTGTGGGAGTATCCCTACCATCTAAGCCGAAATTGTGTCGCTTGTTATTGCTTGATGGAGACCGTGGGCTCGACTTATGCTCTGGCGGTGGCGTTGAAGGTCTCGGCATAGGATGCTTCGGATGAGCCTCGGTGGGTAACTGATTTTCTAACCATTTCAACCACCTCGGAACTCCAGCAGAGCAAGTATCCATTTGAGAATCCAGTGCTGACTTTGGAGTGGTTTTCTGCAATTTTTGAGCAAGAATAAACATAACATCTGAAAATGCAACACAATGTTATTGATGTGGATTACGATCAAATCTCGAATGGGTCGATACCTGGTGGGATTGGGAGTATGCATATGCCCTTGCTCGTTCCCGTTTGATGGCGGCTTCTACCTTCCTCTGCAGTCGGGCGTCTTTTTCCTCCTTTGTTAGTGAGCTTTCATCCCAATCTTCATGGTTACCTCCCTCAGACTATGCAGACATTAACAAGCATGAGTAATAATTACAGACCAAAGATTGATAGAGACAACTTATAGAGCTCTTTCCAAACGACACTCTCGATACCGTTTACTCGAGTAAAGGAAATTTAATTCAATAACGAAAACAGGAAATATAAGATATAGAATGAAGATCTCGCAATGAATCAACTACAAATGTATCTACACTCTAACGTCTTCGGTAAATGTGCATTTCAAATAAGATCGATCGGCCTGCTTGTTCAACCACAAATCGAACGAGCATCATCTCCCGAATCTCCAAAGAAAATAGAGGCTGAGTGTTCTTACTGAGCAAAACCAGGAAGTTTGTATCGCTATTTGATATCACGAGCAAACAAAAATCATCAAAATCTCTTTTCTTTTTAACATTTTTGGGAAAAGGTCACAAAAAAGGATAGGATCTAACATCTCTAAAGATTATTTTTTAAATTATCATTTTCAACTTTAATTTCCACCTTTTTTTTAACTTTAAATAGTTTTTTATTTTTCTAATTAAAAAAAAAACTAGCAATAAGAAGTAATTAGCAACTGTGTTTTTGTTTTCCTTCCCGAAAGGAAAACAAGACACAAGAAACAAAAATGTCACTAAATAAGACACAAGAAACGGAAATGTCACTAAATAAACTTTAATATGTTCACTTCTAAAGAAAAGGAATTTCAAACGAAACTAAAGAACATACTGTGCCAAAGGTACTCTGAGCTTCTTTATCATTGGGATGATCCTGGAGTTGCCTTTGGTTTTCGAGCATTTCGATCCGTCGTGATTGTATCTGAGACTGCACCCGAACCAACAGCTGCATCTGTTTCTTGGCATTCAAAGTCTGGCGCCTCACATTATTCCCTCGTACAACGCCTTGAAGCCGCACCAGACCCTTCAATGCTCTGAAGCTTTTCCTTGCCTGCAAAATTATAAGCAGTTTCATTGCCAATTATGAAGTTCAAATCATCAGTCATATCGATTTTCAATCGTTGCAGTACTGTAGGCGGTTCACAGTTTCAATGTTTTTGCTTATAGCTTAAACTATTCCAGTTACAAAGAAAACAAATCTTACCGCATAACCTCTGTAGGCTGCTTGGATCTTAATAGCTGAAGAAAGATTGTTCGTGTTGATTGGTTCTGGGATGTAGCTGACTTCCTTGTGATGATTGACGACCGTTGGAATGTAGCTGACTTCCTCATGATGATTGAGGATGGTTGACGAGCAAGCTCGAGGAGGAGAAGCAACTGTAGGAGGAGAAATCTCAGGAGATGGTTCCCTAGGAGAGGCAGCTCTAGGAGGTGAAGTAGCCTGGGGGGAAGTGGGTCGAGGAGGAGGTATATACGGTGGTGTTGATGGCAGTTCAGGAGCAGGAGGCTGAATTGCTACTAACTGTTGCTCCCTCTCGAAATCGCTAAAGATTTTCTCGACTGTGCTTGGCTTTCTAAAGAGAGGAATGAAGGAAGTGGGCGCTCCTTTTCCATCTCCCTTTCTTTCATTTCCACTATTATTCTCACGATCCACCTGTATTATCAAACGAGAATGTTCATAGTCAAAAAGGTTGGATTCTCCTCATGTTCATGCATTTGCAACCAAAACCGATAGCGACAGTTGCACAAATAACATAATCGAGAAAACAGTACCAATCGTTGTCATTAACATCATTACATAAATATAAACAAACTTTCTAAATAGGAAGTTAAGAAAACAACTTGCCTCCCCTGATTGACAAGTGAAAAACCTCTTTATAGCAGAAAACCAACTGCCTTTCTTTCCCATATTCGTTGCATTAATGTGTTTCCCTGAATGGTAAGGAAAACAAAAGCTTCAGCTTCAGATCAGCCATTTTACGGGATTCATAACGATTACAGATTAATTATTGTGTAATCGCTCAACAAACCTCAATCAAATAACAACGAATACAGTTAAAAAATCATGAGCACCAAAATTCCTACCAAAAGCAGATTATTTTTCACGGTGATTTGAAGCAAAAGAAAACCATAGTGTACAAGAATTATCATTATCAAGTTCTTAACCAACCCAGAAAATACAGACAAATTCCTACAAACAACCCCAAGATGGTGCGAAACAACGGGTCAAGGGAATTTATCCATTCCCTAGCGTCCCCAATTGATTTCTTTCCTTTGTTGTAAAGAGGATCTTTCCAACGCTAGGCTGGCACACTACTCCTGTCCAGTTCACAACGACCCCTTTGTGAGGGGTCGCTTAAAAAGCAGGGGCACCTTCCGTCGTCCATCAGCAGTCACTTAACGAGCATCAATCAGATAACAATGACCACAAGTAAACTCAAGAAAAACAAACACCAAAATTCATACCAAAAACAGAATACTTTTCACAGTGATTTGAAGGAAAACAAAATCATAGTTTATAAAAATTAGCAGTATCTAGTTCATAACCAACCCCCAACATGGTCCAAAACGAACACAGGTAAAAACTACCACCCAAAATTCCTAACAAATACAGATAATATTCCACAGTGATTCAAACCAAAGCAAAACAGAACCATAGTTTATGAGAATTAGCAGCCTCAATTTGACAGTCAACTCAAAAGGCACAGACAAATTTCAACAAACCCCCAATTTCCATGAAAGAGAGAGAAACAAGGGATCAATCATGAGCAATTTAAGCATCAGCAGCAGCAGAAAACAGAATCAGAGACAGTAAAAGACCTAGAAGGGAAAGAAGTAAAACAGAGGGTGAGGAGGTTGAAATTACTTCCAGAAATGACGCAGTTGCCGAAAATCCTCTGCAAATTTCTGCTCAAACAAAGCCTCACAAAATTTCAGAAAAGAAAAGAAAGAATCACTGTTGATCGAAGAACACAAACAATTAGAAAACCCAAAAAGGCCCAGCAGAAGAAATTGGTACCCGAAATAAGCCCCTGCAAGAGACCTTCGAAAGACCCCCCTTCCAAAAAGCTGCAACAACAAAAAACCCAAAAGAAAAAGGAAAAATCAGACAAGGGTTTTCTCTCTCTCTCTATTTCCGTGCTTCTTCCTCAGCTACATGCGGAATTCTTCGAAGAAAAAACTTGCTGGGCAGCCCCTCTTTCTCTCTCTAACTCTGGTTTTCTTTTTCCTTCTTTAAGATGGAGCTTTGAAAATGGGGTTTTGCTGGTTGGAATTCTGCTTTTGGTTCTGCCCACCTTTCGCCTTTTGCGAGATTTATATGTTTTCTTTCGGTTGGAAGATGATGATGAAGAGAGAGAAATTTCTCTCACTAGAAATGGAAATGGAAATGGAAATGGAAATGGGCATGTTCTTTGTTGTTGAACCAACTTTACTTTATAGTAATAGTAGTGGGCAAAGTGTTTAGACTGAACAAATCAACGCATTCCGCTGCAATTGCTTAACGGTTGAATTAAGAATAAGATGGTATCCTAGAAAGAAAAATGGACTCTTTCTTCCCCCTTTCCTTTTTCCTCTTCTTTCGCTTTTGTTTTTATTATCAACTTTCTGCAAACCAAAATATCTTTGCTTTCAAAGTAAGTTTTTTTTTTCTTTCACTGGAGAATTTTCATTTTTACTTGAAATTTTTCTTTAAGCTATCGGGAGCTGCGAGGTGTGAAAATAAAGTCCCACACTTCTTTTCAAGTATTTTTGGAATTTTGGAATTTTTTGCCGTACAATGTAAGTTTCTCTGAGTTATTTGCTTTTAAGTATATGAATAATGGAATTAATATTTTATTTGTAACTAAATTAGAAAAATGGTTACATTGGATTGATAAATTCCACAAAATTCCAGTAACAAATACTTGTCATAGAAGTGTTTTTTTTTCTTTCTTACAATACGTGGGAGTGTGGGATTCAATTCACGAGCTCTTAGTTGGAGATATATGTCAAACTATGCTCGTTTTGACAATTATAGAGGTATTGCGAACATGAACATAGCTGAGTGTCATAAATGACATTTATTTCTTCCCTTAAGGTTGGAGGTTCGAAAATATACTCAAACTCAACGATTAAATGAAACAATTTTGGTGAGTATTGTGTGTATTTTCTTAAATTAAAATATAAATTAATAATTATATTGTCAATTTGAATATAGTTTAACTGGTTAAAATGCATATTCTTGATCATAAGGTCGAAGGTTCAAATTTTCACCCTCACTTTGATAGTTTTTAGTGCTTATTAGAAATAAAGTAATATTTCGACTATATTATTTCATGTATTGATTTTTTTAGCAAACTTTGGGTTGTATGATGTCAAATTTCATTCTATAAGAATTAAATCTGTAAGTATAGTTTGTCAACTTCAACATAGATTAATTAGTTAAAACATATGTCCCGGCCAAAAGATCGTGAGTTTGGATTCCACATTTCAACATATTGTCGTACTAAAAGAAAAGCTTTAAACGTAGTTTAATAACTAAAAGTTTTCGTACTTTCCTTTCTAGATGGTAAGTTTGGGTCTCACCCTCATATTTGAGGTATTTAAGAAAAATTGCGAAAAGAAATTTTATTTTGAACAATTAAAATCCTTCTTGAAATATTTTGGCATGTTTGAGTATGGATCATATATGATTATACGATACATTTCATAAGTTTAAAAAGAAAAAAAAAACATGATATCCTAAAAATTGAGTATTAGAAGGCCAAATAATATACAAATATTTTACAATTTATTTGCATATATTAGAAAATTATATTATCAATATTTCATACAAAAAATAATGGTTTTTTTTCTGATAAAAAAACATTATATAAGTTAAACTTACAATTACAAATTTTTAATTGAAAACAAAATAATATTAGATTAAATGAAATAGTACATTTATATTTTAAGAAATAAACTATTAAAAGTCAAAATTAGTCATCATCAAACACATTAATTCGATCGTGCGTGCAAATATTAAAGAGTAAACACAATATCTCTCCTAAAAATATATATATAAGTCAATATCATTAATTATTTTTGTTTTTGTTTAATGTTTTAAATTATATTGTAGTAGAATCGAAAACAATAAATAAATAGTATATGTTTTCAAAAAAATATATATATATATATGGTATATGTACATATATATATATAGTATATGAACTTTATATTTATTTTATTTAAATATTTTAGTTCCTCTTACTTTCAAAATTTTTGCTAGGGATATAGCTCAACATTGAAAGAATTTATTTCTTCCTTCGAAAGTTGCAATTCAAATCTCCAAACTTTTATATTTATTGAAAAAAAAATCATCTATTCATTAGATAAGATAACAAGAAACGTGTCTAATCTACGTCAAGTTTAATAATTTTAATAATTTAAAAAGAGAGAGAAAAACTAACCCATGAGAATTAATATAGTTTTTTGATGCCAAATTTAAATAACATAATAAAATAAATATAAAACTCAAGGGCAAAAATATAATTTAACCAAGAAAATATCATTAATTTGTGAATCACTAAAAAATAGAATTTATTTGCCTCTTAAATAAGTTGGAATAATATCAATTCAAACATGATTGAAAGTGAATATCTCACTACACGTTTGTTGAATAAAAATAATCAAAATTATCAAAATTTATTATGTGATATATTTTGTTTTTCTTTTTTCCCTTTTCCTTGAAAAATATGGAAGAAACCACAAAAATTCACATAAAATATTGAGAATATATAGCAATGCATCAAAAATTAATGTGAAGAGCTAAGAAAAAGAATCTATAGAGAATTTGAAAGTTGATTCTCTGCGAAAGAAGATTTATAATAATCTATCATCAATCATTCTCAAATCTCACTTTATGAAAATTTGGCACTTGTAAATTCACGTTATAATATGGTAACAAAAAAAAAGTAATTAAATCACTGTAAAACAAATGTAACCAAATACATAAGTGTTTTAATTAAAATTACTCTTATTTTTCATTGGAATAAGTCTTTAAAATACGCCATGATGCAATTTATACCTCTGGTTAGATTTTCATTCGAATAAGTCTTAAAATAGGCCATGTTTGAAATGAGAATTATTTTTTTTTTTCATCCACTCTCATCGTGTTTATCAAATTATAAGAACGAAATCAAATTGTGGGTCCCAATTCAAATTTGGGAATCCAAAGATAATCTCATTTTTCTTCTACACCCTAATTCGAGAGTTACTTTACTACTTATATCGTTTTCTATCTTTATTAATGAGAGCCACAATTTTTTTTTAATTATTTCTTTTTCATTTCTACTACTAATGTTTATCTTCTAATAAAAATTTATACAACTTTTATTGGTTGGTATAATTTTATTTTAAATATTATAAATTTATATTTAATTTTAATTTTTTTTACTTTGTTATTATTAATTAATATCAATAGATTTTTTAAAATAGAATTTATTGTTATTGAATATTAAAATAATAAAATTTTATACTAAATTCTAATAAAAAAGTATTTTAGTTGATGCAATTTTTTTTTAATTATTCATTATTACTAATATTAGATAAATTATTGAAAAAATGAGTATATTAGTAATTGTCATATACCTAATACCAATTCCGATTCCAGACAATTTTAGTAAATAACATCAAAAGAATTATGACTCTGATTACAGAAAATTTCTGGTAAACAATATCGTTTCGATTTATTTTTATTTTGATTCATTCCCATTCCAATTCTAAACATAGTCTTACCATATTACAAATAGAGGCAATATTAGTGCTAGATTTAGTTGCCATAATTTAGTTTTTTGAGATATTTATTTACTTGTCTATCTTCTCCATTAATTTGTTAAGAGTTTGATTGTGTGCACTAATTTGTTACAACTTATTTTGTTTGTAACGAGTGAGTTTTTGTTTTGTTAAAATAGATAAGCGGACGTGAGACTGTGTAGCAGTGGTTATAAATTATAATATTTATCTAAATATTAAATTCAACCTAAAGAAATTGAAGCCGAAGCAAGCATAATTTAGCAGTAATTGACGTATATATGTAATCAAGAGGTCGTGAGTTCGATCTCTCACCACACCTATGTTGTACAAACAAAACATTGAAGAAATTGAAAACTTATGACAAACATTAATTTATCTTGCTAAATTTGAGTATAATAATTAATTTTTGCCTTTCAAGAAACTTTTTAATTTGAAATTTAGAAAAGAAGATATATATATATATATATATATATATATATATATATATATAAATTTTCAATTTTACTCCTAATGTATTGATACAAGTGGTGCACTGTAAAATTTACAAATAGTTTATTTGAATTTTTATTTATTTATTTATCTTTTTTAATGTCTGTGAGTATTTGGACCAATTTATGTGCACTTCAATTAATCTTTAATCACAATTGTTGACCCATTTTAAAAAAGAAAATTATTAAATGAGACTTACCTAATATAATCGAATAATCATTGAATATGATATGTCGTATATATATAAATTAATACTTTTAATGTATTGATATGCATGGTGGACTGTAAAATTTACTAATAGTTTATTTGAAAAAAATTTATTTTATTTTTTTACTTTTTTAATACCTATGAATATTTATACGCACTTTTGATTAATCTTCCCAAAACTTACTTACCTATTTAGAAAAGAAAATTATTAAATGAGCCTAATAACCGTTGAATTGGATGATGATGATGATGATACCACCAAATTGCAATATTAGAGTAAATGATTAAAATAAAATAATTTAAAATGAAACTTAACCCTAACATTGTTTTTTCTTTTTTAAATACATATATTATTACAGATTTCTGACCTGCATGGTGTTTGAAAAGAAAACCCACACTTCAAACAATATAATAAATCTAAACTTTAATCTTTTCTACTTATTATTTTATTTTTCGTCTCTAAATTCTATCTTAATTTTAGTTCATAAATTAAAAAAAAACACGTACACAACAACAATTTTAATCTGTGTTGTTGTTCTATTTTTTTATCCAATTCTTATTATTGTACCATCAATCATGTGAAGTCAATATCTAACGCCCACCTACAAAATATGCACCAATTAATATTTGAGATGGGAATAACAAAGTAGAACTCTGGAAATGAACACGAAATGTCAATACATGCTTCAATTAATACATGTCCATGTCAATGCATTAATACGCATATTTTAAGTCCATTACATCTATCTATTAAATAATTAATTACATTTCTTCAAATAATAATAATAATAATAATATTAATTAATTGCATAAAACGTTTATCTCTTTAAAGTTAAACGTTAGAATAGACATTTTGAAAGTTGAATAACCGCACTAAAATAAAATGTTGAAAGTTTACTGGCGAAAATAAAATATAAATTTAAAACTAAAATAATGTTTGATGGAATGAGTGGAGAAGAGAATAGGTAATGTCAACTTGTTTGTCTTTTTAAGATAAATTTTGTCCAACTATGGTGTCTAATGATTTTAAGA